AATACAAGTTAAGTATGAAGAGAGGTTTACATTATAATAAAAGTGTTGGTAAAGAAAACATTTATCAAGAATTGAAAATAGATGAGATTGAGAAGTTTTCTAGCAAAATAGAATTCTTGATAAAATAAATGAAACTAGTTTGATCAATCAAGAGATTCTTTGTAATAATAGAATATAAAATCAAGTAAGTTCAATAATTTTCAATAAATATACTCTCTTAATTGCTCTTGTAAGTTGTTGAAATTGAATGCAAAATAGTGAGTTATTTATAGATCAAAATGTTTGAATATCAGCAACTTTGGATTGAGCATTTCGGTCGACCGAAAGATGAATATAGCCATTGTATATTTTAAACCGTTGAAATTTTGGCTGAGCATTTATGTCATTTCGGTAGAACGGAATTTCGGTCGACCGAAGTATGAGTTTTTGGAATTTAATTTTTATATCAAAATATTCATTTTTTCAAAATCTATTTCATATTATGAATTAAAAAATGTTTATGCAAGTAATGAATTATGAAAATAATTTGAGCTTTATGCACTTACTAAAGATTGATGAGTTGATATCTTTATATACAAATTGAAGTTTTAATAAAGAACGTCTAAACTATAATCTTCAAAAATCTTGTTCTCTTCGAATCTCTTGTGATCGTTTGTTCTTCAATGGATGACGATTTGAGACTTTGAATGCTTAAGAAAATTTATACATGAAAAAAAAACTCAAGAAACAAGACTTGTTAGAAACATAAGTATATTGTTTGTTATAATCAAAATAAATGGAGTTATATTTAATCATAGGTCAATAGAGGGGTTCACTGCAAGTCAAGTTGCAAGTTGAGATTTGGGGAAATGGTTAAATTCACTGGTGGCCACCCAATTTTATAGTTGGTGTCACCATGACCACTCAATTTGATTTTGTTTCACCATAGCTATCAAATTTATACTTAGTGTCATCATGGTCACCCAATTTGATTTTATTTCACCAAGGTCATTCAATTTCATATAACGCTTCGCTATGGCCACCCAATTTCATATAACATTTCACCATGGTCACTCAACTTCTTTTTACTATTTTCATTAATTTTAAAGGGTTAAACAGTAACTTTGCATTATATATATACAATAAATTTTTAAAAAATTTAAAATAAAATTTTATTAAAAAAGTTTTAAAAATAAAATAAAAACTTATTTTTGAAAAAAAAAAGTTACTTAGAAAAATAAAATAAAAAGTTATTTTAAAAAAATGTTCTTTAAAAAAATAAAAAATTATTTTAAAACAAACGTTTTAAGTTTTTTTTAATAAGTTTTTTAAAATTATATATATATATCATGTAAAATTACTGTTTTACCCCTTTTAAAATTAATGAAAATAGTAAAAAGAAATTGAGGGACCATGGTGAAATGTTATATGAAATTAGGTGATCATAGTGAAACATTATATTAAATTGGATGGTCTTTGTGAAATAAAATCAAATTGGGTGGCCATTGTGAAGTAAAATCAAATTTGGTGGTCATGATGACATAAAGTATAAAGTTTGGTGACCACCAGTGAAATTAACCCTTTGGGGAAATCATTAAAAAATAAAAAACCTGTCTAAAAGCCATTTTTCCAAAGGTTCTAAAAGCTACGTAACTGCTTTTGTAGCTCTAATTCCAACAGTGACTTGTTTCATGGTGACGGATTGCTCAACAAACTTTATTCTGCTCACAGTAATCACTCTCACGGGGTCCAACTTTATTCTACTTCAAAGTACTCACTCTCACAAGGGCCAGTTGGCCCCGGCATCACCAAGGCCTACGTAGCCTTGGTAATGTAGCATAATTCTTACCCGTTAGCATTTCATTTATCATTTTGAAAAATTTGTGTCGTTAGTAACTAACATGACAGACGGAATTCTAAAGTAGCATCTAGCACCCGTTATATTTGAACAAAAATGGCATCTTTAGCAAGTCAGCATTAAAAAATAATAATAATAATTTAAACTTATTTGTGATATAAAATATTCTCATATATGACGTCTCTAGAATCATCTTCTACTCAATATTCATTGTTCTTGCCATATAGGGCGGACCCCGGGGGCCTTGAGGGACACGTGCCCCCTGAGAATTTTTTTTTTTAAAGTTATGTTTGATATCGATTGAAATATAAATTTTAATCTAAATTAACGTTAACAATTAATATTAATAACATATTTCATAGAATCCATTATTGTTTAACTTTTATCAAAATTTACTAAAAATTTAATTTTAATTTCCACCAAACAGGAGCTAAATCATAATAAATTTGAATTTCAATAACATGCTAAT